GAATTTATCAGATTCAAATATTAAGCAAAAACAAATTTTATAAGATGTCCTTTTAAGTCAGATAGAGCTATCATCATATTTATTTTGAGGCCTCTTGTCAGCCTTTTTCAGCTCCTTCATACATAGTGATTATTAGCAAAACCGAATAGGAAAGCTGCTTTTATTTTTCTTGTTTATTTTCGTTTTTATTAACTGACGCTATTTGTAATGATGTTCTGTCTATTAATGAGACGGTGAAATGGGTCGAAGTTATTTTTGAGAAACGCAAGATAGGCATACAGGAATTTTATCGTTGCTATGATGATTAATCTGGTAGGGTCTTTAGTATGCTAGTAATCTCTAGCTACCTAAAGTTTACTTATATTTTTTTGCAACGTCTCATTTTTAGGTAGACTTCAAAAAAATACCCATTACTATCCGTACTTCGTCCTATATCGTTATATTCATGTTTTTGGCAACTGTATTGGACTTTCGACTATTTGTGTGAGCCTTTTCTAATCATGATTAGGTTGCGAGAACGGGATAAAGCTATCATAAACTGCTGTTTGCTACATTATTCTTATAAATAGAAAACCACTTTAAGTAACCAAAAGTCTTCAATTATACTATCTTGGAGTAAGGAAGCAAGCATTTGCGAAACACGAGAATAATAGATCATATAATACTTTATCACGTAACGCTATTAAAACTAATGTACATTTTGACAAGAATTGTGCTACCTGAGTCTATGCGATTGAAAACAATAAACATAGTACTAATTGAATATTTTGACTAGTAGCTCCAATCACCATCACTAGATAGCTATGACAGGAATTTCTATACCCTCAACTTCCAAGTTTATCCGAAGATATGAAGACCGAGATGGTGTGGCGTTTTGTGTGGTCGCAGTCTCCTTTCGTTGTATAGAAATTGTTTGATCTTATTTTCGCAACTTGGTCATATTGGTAGGAAGAATTAGAAGACCGCACCTTGTCCTGAGTCCATTGTATGCATAATTATTTCCAAAGTCGAACCGTGGACGTGGTAAATTCGCAGATGTTTCGCGGGCATCGTAGTCGTCATCGTCAGTGAGGTCTACCACTCGTAGCACCATATTACAAATGGTCAAAGAGACAAGTGAAGCCGATCATTTGACCAAACGTGTGCTAAACAGTTATGATACCTCCCATTCTGCCCTGACCTATTCACATTTCCTAATCCTCCAATCACGCCTTCACTGTCACAATATTTTACTTGCTTAATTAAATGTGGTACGGTGTGCCCTTTTGAGCGGCTTTCATGAGAACCATCTGCACTCCACGCTGGCTTTCTCACCACCCTTCATCCTTGTGCTGGGAATGTTGATTAGTCTGCCATATTGTTACGCCGTCCTTCACTAGGTCTTATTACAA